AGTCACCCGTGTAGAAACCTGAAACCCGAGAATGATTGATAGTGTTGCTTAAATAACTTAAATAATTAACCAATGCCTGGACAGTGGCCTATTCATTTTCCACCTATTGATTAATCAATTATCATTGCGGGCGGCACGGTGGTGTGGTGGTTAGCACTGTCGCCTCACAGCAAAGGGGGTTGCCGGTTCAATCCCGGGTGTGGGAGCCCTTCTGTGTGGAGTTTGCATGTTCTCCCCGTGTCAGCGTGGGTTCTCTCCGGGCACTCCGGCTTCCTCCCACAGTCCAAAGACATGCAGATTGGGGACTAGGTTAATTGATGACTCTAAATTGTCCATAGGTGTGAATGTGAGCGTGAATGGTTGTTTGTCTCTATGTGTCAGCCCTGTGATAGTGTGGCGACCTGTCCAGGGTGTACCCTGCCTCTCGCCCGATGTCAGCTGGGATAGGCTCCAGCCCCCCCGCGACCCTCAAGAGGATGAAGAGGTTAGAAGATGAATGAATGAATGAATTATCATTGAAGCTCTAATTTGGGGTGTTGGGTTGTATTAGCTGAAAGGACATTCTCCTAGAAAACAAGACCACAACAATTCCACTACGGCAAATAGCAAAAATACTTTGGCAATTATAATAGAATACACTGTATAAAACATACTGTATTATGACTGTAGAGACTGTATAGAAGAAAGTGGTGGTTATGATTATCAGCAATCTTCACTACTGCTGAGATAATTTGTTGATAAATTTACAGAAAAATATTCAGTGACAATTTGGCATTGGCTTAATTGTTATAGGCTGTTCTCCAGGTAAATAACAGCAACAAGAGATGCAACATTCAAAACACACAGCACAATGTTCAAGACATAAATCGATACAAGTCGATATAAGTCTTGGATGTCCAAAATTACATAATAAAACATACAAGTCTTCTTATCTTTAAGGTTTTATAAATATTGCAGTGCTAAAAATGTTTCGTTTGTGTTGAGGGTTGCACTCAAGAAAAGGTCACAGCATAATATAAACCAAAATGTACCAAAAAAATAAATGAAAGTAGCCAAAATGTGCTTGGCAAATTTCATGGCAATTTGCCACCTAGGTTATGAAAACTCAAGGTTTAGGATCATGAATTTTGAACAAAAATCTATGGCAATCAGTGTTGGTCCGATGTTAAGATTTTTAAACCGATCTGCAGAATTTTATGTTGCACACAACGCAGCGGCTGCTCTCGAGTAGATTTAAGACTGAGCGAGCCCATGACTGCTTGGGTTGCTGTTAGGAAATAGTAGTTAGGGGACAGTCAGACACTTCATCGTAACAGTGAGCAAGCATTCAAATATCTTGTTGCACACATCGGATCTCTTTCTCCACACTGAATCTGGAAAAATATGCACTTTCGTCATGTAAACAAACCATGTACCTATCCATGTACCTCCAGATCAGACTGGAGACGTAACTATTCAAAAATGGGTGAGTACTTTCAATTCGTTGGTTCTTAAACTGAAAACATATGTATTGTGATATTTACAGGAAATGACAAACCGTATAGTCAATAGCAAGCAGTTAGTCATTGAGGATGGTCATTAACCAGAAACTTTCATGTCCCTCGTGAACTCCGTTCAGCCAGCTGCCACCTTATTTAGGTTTTTGAAGTAAAATGAGGAGATATCCTGTAGATAAATCCATATTTCAACATCAAAAAACAAAACAGCCGTTTCTCATCCATTGCTGCGCTTTGAAAGCGAGCGACCCGGGCATCCAGTGTTGGGTATCGACTCCAGTCCACTTGGTTTCACTCTTCAGCTCACTTCTTCTGTCGACTTCGCCATGTTTGCGAAGCTTTAGTTTTCTTCAAAACTAACTTCGTCAAGTGTTGTCTCGTCACCCCAAAAAACCCACAAGCTTCTTAGTAAGCAAACACAACATGCATTGCTCTTCCCCCATCCTACCTCGACTGAAATTTGATCTACTTCATGTTCCTGGACTCAGCAGTAAATTTCACACAACTTGTCAGACACTAGTGACTCCATTAGTCCGTTAACGACTAAATATAATATTATGTTAAACACGTTGTCATATTGCTTAATACTAATTGGCCAGAACCTGTCATGGTGACAAATGCAGGATTAATCAGTTTGCATAAAATCCAACTAGTTTAAAATCCTACACCAGACCTAACCGGAAACTCTAATGGTATGAAGGCTTGAAGCTGTTAAGATATCTTACTTTGGCTCAAGCTGTTTGACGAACCAACTGAGTAACAATGTCTTCCTTGTGCTCAACCTCTAGTAGATCAAAAACACCAAATATTTTTGGGTTGCAGTGTCTAAAATCCAAAGCTTTGCTATTGCTTTTCCCTAAATCATATCATAGTTAATTGAATACATCAGATAACCACTTCTAAGATTTTGTTTTCCTGGAATATGGAAGAACATTAACTGTTATTTTTGACAACAATCAATAATGAAAATACTTATTGTTTGCAGCCATAATCTCTGGAATCTGGATGAATAATAGGATGATTCCCTCTGACTTCACCAACAGAAAATCCAACTGTGCTTTCTGGGAAATGCAGTGGAAAAAATACCACAACAATGACTGCTTAGCACTAAAGATGACACCAAAATAAAACTCACACCACATACCGACACAGCTTCCGGTCTGCCACCCACCCACCCCCCCCCACACACACACACACACACACAATGCCCCCATCTCCTGTGTCTCAAACAGTCAGGACAGCAAGATTATTTTTAAGACTTTTTCCTCTCCATTGCACTGCTCATTGTTTTCCATATTTCAGCACTGATTCAAGTGTAAACAGTAAACACCTTGGTGTGAGAAAAGTTCCAGGGTGGGGGCTGGTGAGTCATGAATACTTTTGTGTCATTACACACCAATCAATAATTGATGAATTAAGATGATATGATGCTGCAATGACTTTTTTGCTTCCTTTCTTTGCACCTCCACATGACTCAGAGAATGACTACCCTCCTGTGGGTCAACTCGCCCCCTCAAGTTACAGCATTAAATATTCAAGCTGTACCTTTGCATAATTTACCTTGTCAACATACCAAGGAAATGAGTTGGAGGGGAAAAAAAAATGGGACGACTGCTTTAAGTTTGAGGACTAGAACTCGGAGCTCAGCAGAAACCCAGGACATTTTAAACTAACTCCTCTTCAGGCAAAGTGACGCCCAAGGCAGTTTTGCTTCTCTGCAGCAGCTCTGGGTGTATGATGCAAGTGAGCCCTTACATGTCTACGCAGGGATCAAACAGGGTAGCTAATTTTATTAAACAGACACTAATCTAACAGTATCCATGGCTTTAGGCAGGCTGTGTGCTGCAGGCGTGTTTGCCACAGTCTCCATCTGATGGGTGTATCCTGCTTTGAGTTACCCGACAAGCCGCCCATCCTCGCCCAAATGTTACAGGGGCATCTTGCCTTTTGTTTAAACACTGAAGAGCATGTTGCTCACTCTTAGCATAATGGTCTTCCTTGTCATGTGATCTCTGCAAAAAATTCCAGAGCGGCTACTGAAGCCTAGCGCACATGGCGGCCTTTTCTAACAGATGTTTTTCGTTTGTGCTGCTGCAGTCTCTGGGTTCAGAGGCACAGAGCCAGAGAGGTGATTCATGATGTGAGCCTTTTCCTTGTTACAGTCAGCAGACACAGAGTGGGCTCTGGGTGGAGAATAAACACGGCCCTGGTTCTGTTTTGGTTGATTTTTTTATTATCATGATATAATAAGCTTGTAAAGGATAGAAGATAGAAGTGATGGATAGCACGGGCTGTTTGCTGTAGTAGCTGTTAGGACTGTTAGGATGTTGGAGAAAGGACCAGGCCTGCGGTTTTATCCCCTTTCAGCAAACATATCTGGTCGCTGTCATGCTCATCTTATGTTTACATAGCATCTGTACAGTTATTTAATCACAAATAAACCCCATTTTCATTCAGTGAGCCTGAAGTCATTCACGTCTGCAGCTAAATGTGTTTTAAAGTGGGAAATGAGGTCACGTTTTGGCATTAACTAACAGCAGTGAAGGTGTGCACTCCCCTGGTTTGATGCTCCATTTAATCATAGCAGGAAGGATGCCAACGGAGGGCGATGGTGGGGGTGGGGAGGTGGGAAGCACACATACACATAGCAACCCACCTGCCTGGCCTGATTACACTCACCCTTACATGATCAAAGGTGACACAGCATCACAGAGAGTGACTTTGTGTGCGCAGTATTTCCCTCTGAGGAGAAATCTGTCTGTCTTTTAATGCAATCTGGCCTACGTGAGAGTGGGGAATCTCTATAATCCTGAAACAGTTAATCCAGATCTGACTGCCAGCGACTAGAGAAGGTCTTTCTCTCTCTGTCACACACACACACACACACACACACTGCTACAGCCTGGCAGCATGCTCTGAAGCTGTGAGTTATGTAATAGTGAACACAGAGAGCTGCAGGCCTGAGTGCACATCCTCCTATTCCCTACACCACCAAAGCCATCCACCCCCTCTATTATTACTCTACATATCTGGCAAGAAAAAGGCAGCAGATTCACAAGCACAAGATGAGAGCTCACCTACACACACCAGCTCTGCAGCAGCTATGTGTGTGTGTGTGTGTGTGTGTGTGTGTGTGTGT